TTCTGGGCAGTTCCTCACTTGGTGTCCCAGTTGGCCGCATCTAAAACATGCACCAATTTTCACATAACATATCCCTGTATGACTTTTGTTACACGTTTCACACATAGCAGCCACACATTTCTTCTTAAAGTGTCCCTTCTTTTTCTTCTTCCTCCCCTTATCCTTCATAGCAACTCCTTTTCCATCCATCTCTTTACGTTTCCCTTTGTTATCACGAGCACTTCCTTCACCTCTTTCATCTTTATTATCTGGAATATCCTGAGAGGCCATTTGACTAGATGAAGGCACTAGCCCAAACTTACTTCGTACCTCTTCCGAAATCCCTTCGTACTTATTTTTCAACTCTATGTTCTTGTGCAGTAGTTCAATTTTTTTCGAATACTCCTATTTCCATTGCCCTTCCCAGTGCTCAACTAATCTCTTTTGAAACTCTACTTACTTTTGAAAAATTTCTATCTCCTTATACATATCAGCCAAATGTGCCATTTTACCGATTCGCTCGGACTCAAGGGATAGCCTGCCAAGCAAATTAGAAAATCAAAATAAGTAACGAAGTACACTTGGGATTGTAACTATATAACTGTTAAGTTCCCCCACTCCCAATCCAACCACGAAAATTAAACTTAGAAGCATACAGGTATAGAGGCCAAATCCTTTCTCTCAAATTTTCATACCTAATTCCAAACTCTCGATCTCAACACAATAATAATCAAGTCAGGTCCATACTTTTAAGATTGATGTGACTCCGAGAGTAATACCTATCTCTAGGACGCCATATCGGATGGCTCCAGCCAAACTGAAAGAATTGAAATTGCAACTGCAAGACTTGTTGGAACGGGGCTTTATAAAAGAGAGTGATTCTCCGTGGGGAGCCCCGATTTTCTTTGTTCAGAAGAAAGATGGGAGTTTAAGGCTGTGTATAGACTACTGAGGCTTGAATGATGTTACTATCAAGAATAGGTACCCATTGCCCCACATCGATGAATTGTTTGATCAATTGCAAGGGGCGGTAGTATTCTCGAAGTTGGATTTGAGACAAGGTTATTTTCAATTGAGGATTTTGGAGAAAGATATACCCAAGACTGCTTTTAACTCGAGATATGGGCACTTTGAGTTTGCAGTAATGCCATTTGGATTAACAAATGCACCTGCTGCTTTTATGGATTTGTGCATAGGATCTTTAAGCCTTATTTGGACCAATTTGTGGTGGTGTTTATTGATGATATTTTGGTGTACTCTAAGAATGTGAAAGATCACGAGAAACACTTAAAAATTGTTTTGCAGACTTTGAGGGAACACCAATTGTATACTAAGTTTAGCAAGTGTGAGTTTTGGTTAAAAGAAGTGACTTTCTTGGGACACATAATTTCTAAGGATGGGATTAAAATAGATCCAAGTAAAGTTGAAGTTGTTTCAAAGTGGAAGCGACCAGAAACCCTACTAAGGTTCGAAGTTTCATAGGACTAGTAGGGTATTACCGGAGATTTATTCAGGATTTTTCTAGAATTGCTGGACCCATGACTGAGTTGACCAAGAAAAGTGGGAAGTTTATTTGGAATCCTAAGTGTGAAGAGAGTTTCCAGGAATTAAAGAGGCGTCTGACGAGAGCGCCTGTATTAGCTCCACCAAATGGAAAGGATAGTTTTGTGGTTTACACAGATGCTTCTCAGGAAGGTTTGGGATGTGTTTGAATACAAAATGACAAAGTGATAGCATATGCCTCTAGGAAGTTGAAACCACATGAGGGAATTACCCGACTCATGATTTGGAATTGGCGGCGGCAGTATTTGCTTTAAAGAAATGGAGGCACTATTTGTATGGAGTGACATTTGAGGTTTTTACTGATCACAAAAGCTTTAAGTACTTGTTTTTACAAAAAGAGCTGAATTTGAGGCAACGTAGATGGATGGAATTTCTGGAGACTATGATTGTATGATTAAGTACCATCCAGGGAAGGCCAACGTGTGACGGCTCCACCTCCCTTTAAGGCGAACCAAAGGGTTTGGCGGACCGCCTGCCCAACTCTCGCCGGAACTCAGTCATTCACTACAATCCTCAAATAATTTACAAGATTTATCTCAAATATACATCAATTCCTCCATAAGTAGACATATCAAAATGAAGCAAATACTAATTTTCCGAATACGACAAAGGTCCTCAGTTCTCATATAATTACAATTACAAGCACAGTCTCAAATATTACACAAGATAAAACTAAAACTCTAACGGTACAGGAGATCATCCATCCATTCACATGGAGAACTTTAATACAAGCTTCCTTTACCTCGAGCCCTGTGAAGGAGAATAAAATATTTTTGGGGTGAACTAGAATCTCAGCGAGTAATCAGTAAAATCAGTAAGCAAATAAGTTTCACAATAGTTCATTTCAATGATGTCATGAATCAGAAATCCAATGTACATTTGTTGCTCTCGTGAGCCAGTGAAATCATGGTACTTAGACGTCCAACGCTCAAATTGATCAGTTAACAGTGAAACAGTGATAGGGAGCCCTTTGGTGCTCCAGATGAACAGTAAACAGTGGTAGAGACGTTGGTTCTAAGCACAAGACTTCCTAAGAACTCATTGAAGCCAAATCATGTCATGAACTCACATACAAGCACACATGATATGCGGTCAAGTAAATAATGCAAGAAACAGTTCATAAGTAGCTTTGGAAATAGTTTGGAGTCACTCACACCACGGCTCATGATCCATCATAGACAGTTCGTCGATCAAGTCCAAGCCCTTCAACTCAAACTCAAAGCAACCAATGCTATCAAAGATCGGACAGCATTTCCCCATAAATTCTTCATTTCCATCCTACAATAACAATATCAAATTACATCTTAGCAACCACAATTACACATACGGTTCATAGACAATAAAATACATCCAATTAGGGCCACAATACCCTTCAATCAAAGCCAATTAGAAGCTTAAGAGCCAACCATAAGAAAATCACCAAATTAAACCCTAAAACCAAAATTTCCGCACAAATCAGAAATTTTTCGCAAACAATCATATCCAACGTATACAAGCTCCATTTTATACCACACCAAGCTATCATTCCATGACCAACGAACCATAATCATATAAAATCAGAAAATTCCCCAATAAATCAGAAATTAGTCCAACTCTACTTAAAATCATGAAATCATCCACATAATAGTATCTTTAACCTTCACAAGCCACTAATTAACCATTATTAAAGCAAGGGGGAACTTTCTTATCCAACTTACCTCAAAAGTCAAGAAAGCTATCAACTTAGAGCTTCTCTTTCAAAAACAACTCCACCAAGACCTCTATTCTTCCTTAGTACACACTTGTATGGAATAGATTACAAAACTAACGGTGAAATCTCCAGATTTGGACAAGAAAATAAAACTAGAAAATGAAGAACTTTTCTCTCTTCTTTCTCTCCCAAACAGCCGGCCAAGCAAGGAGCAAAAGTGAAGATATTTTAGCCAAAAACAAGATAAGAAGGAAGAAAAAGCAGCCAGTCAAAGTTGACTGTTGGAGGCGACGTCACAATAATCCGGCCGGATTCAAGGCAGTGGCTGACCAATGTTTTTTTCAACCCTCAAGCAATCCGGCCAAGAACTTGCCGGATTTGCTCAAGAACCTTTCCACCAAAAGTTTTACTTTCCATGTTCAAATGTTGCGCTCCTCCCCTCTTCCAACAAAGATATATATATAGATATATATAATCTCACACAATTACACATGATATATACAATCACACGTTCATATATATTGAATGAAAACCCTTATTCTTTCGGGGTGTCACACAACGTAGTGGCCAATGCTATGAGCCGTCAAGTGCAAGTGGCTGGATTGATGATTAAGGAATTACACTTGTTAGAGGAAATTAGTTACTAGAATCCTAGACCTGACCAAGGAAAGTAATTTTGGGGAATATCGTAGTAAATTTCACTCTGTTGGAACGTATCAAGGGGTCTCAGGAAAAGGACGTCGAAGTGCAAAAGTGGTCGAAAAATGTCAAAAGGGGAGACAAGTCGGATTTTAACTTGGGATCAAACGGTGCATTAAGGTTTTGGAGTCGGATAGTAGTGCCAAAAGATGAATGGTTTAAGAAGAAAATTCTAAAAGAGGCACACCGATCGAAGTTTACGGTACATCTTGGAGGGAATAAAATGTACCAAGACATGAAGAGTCTTTATTGGTGGGAGAACATGAAGAAGGAAATTGCCCAATTTGTCCAAACCGGTTTGATTTGTCAACAGGTTAAAGCTGAACATCAGAGACCATCAGGACTTTTGCAACCTTTGGAGATACCTGAGTGGAAGTGAGAGAATATCACTATAAATTTTGTATCGGGATTACCAAGGACACAGAGAGGCCACGATGTTATTTGGGTTATAGTGGATAAACTGACCAAATCGGCTCATTTTTTGCCAATCAATATGAAATACCCATTGAAGAAGTTAGCTAAGTTGTACTTGGATGAGATTATCAGGTTACATGGGATACCTGTAAGCATTGTGTTCGATAGAGATCCAAGATTTGTTTCGAGGTTCTGGCAAAAGATGCAAGAGGTGTTGGGGACTAAATTGAACTTTAGTACCACTTATCATCCTCAAACCGATGGGCAATCTGAAAGGACAATTCAAACCCTTGAGAATATGTTGAGGACTTGTGTTTTGGATTTTGGGGAAGGTTGGAGTAAGTATTTGACGTTGGTGGAATTTGCCTATAATAATAGCTTCCACTCTTCTATTCAAATGGCTCCGTATGAAGCGCTTTATGGTCGGAAGTATAGGTCTCTGATTTGTTGGAATGAAGTAGGAGAACAAAAGATCTTAGACCCGACTACAGTGCCTTGGATTGAGGAAGCTAATGAAAAGGTGAAGTTGGTATGCTAGAGGATTCAAACTGCACAAAGTCGTCAAAAGAGTTATGCGGATAACCGAAGAAAGGATTTAGACTTTGCGGTTGGAGATCTCGTATTTCTTAAGATTACACCTCTGAAACCAAGTTTAATGTCTGGGAAAGGAAAGAAATTACAACCGAGGTTTATAGGGCCTTATAAGGTTGTTCAACGTGTAGGGAAGGTAGCATATAAGTTGGAATTGCCACCGAGCCTGTTTCAGATTCACAACGTGTTCCACGTGTCCATGCTTAAGAAGTATCATCTAGACCCTTCACATATTTTGCGACCAGAAAGTATTGATATTGATGAAACCTTGACCTATGAGGAGAAACCGGTAAAGCTTCTGGATAGGAAGGTAAAGGAATTGAGGAATAAACAGATACCATTGGTAAAAGTTCTCTAGAGGAATCATGGAATAGAGGAAGCCACCTGGGAGGTCGAAGAAGCAATTCGAGGAAAGTATCCAGACTTGTTCACCAATTGAGGTAAATTTCGAGGACGAAATTTTCTTAAGGGGGAGAGGATGTGAGGACTCGTAAAAATTTACTTATTTAATTTTCCATTTCTAGCTTATTTAATTATTTACTTGGCCATTTACTCCGAATATTATTTTCTAACCTCTTTAGACCCAATTACATGGGTCTATAACTTAACCATAATTTTAAAGTGACTTGTTTCAAAATTTAATTTTTGGAAACTCGTTAAATGAGAATAGCGATTGCGCGTTTGGAAACAATAACCGATTTGAGCGTGCAGTGAGCTTGGAAAATTAGAGACTTGTACATTAGTCCTAAAATAGGTATTTTATACTTAAGTATTCAAGTATTAGTTAGTAAAGCTATCGTTATAAGAATTTCTTGGAGATTTCACGTTATCGCGCACAAATCGAAAATATGCGTTTTCACACGCGTGATATAATTGAGGAACTTAAGATCATTATTTTTAGACCATTAAGAGTGAATAATAATAGTATGAATACAAGTGCATTAAAGGTTTAGTACACTAGTGAAACAAACTCGAGAGGAATCGAACACAAAACTCGCACGTATACGTGCGAGGGAAGAGTTGACTTTTCCTTAATTTTGGGCCATACATTTTAGCTTCTCTTGGAAGGTTCATTTTTTATCAAACCTCTCTCTCTCATGCTCCATTCTAGCCAGCCACAAGGAAGAGAAAAACAAACCCAAAGCTCTTCCAATTTCTTCATCAATCTTCCACCAAATCACACCAAAATTTAACCACACTTAGCTAATCACTTGGAGACCACATCAAGCTAGGAAAGAGGGCCGCTTTCACGATTCTTTTAGGCTAAGAAGGACCAAAATTTCTACTTGGTTCATCAACTAAAGTAAGTGATGATCAACCTTGAAAATCTTGATTTATGGAAGTAGTAGTGCACTTATGAGCTCATGCATGCATGTGGGTAGCTTTATTTATGTTGGATTTTAGTGTATGGGCTCTATGAATTCCCACTATGGTTGGATGGACTGATTTGATGAACTGCGGTGTTTTTAATGTTGGTTTAGCGCTTGTTATACTAGAAATGAGTGATGTTAAGGATGAAAACCCAAAGGAGGTGAAAGGGAGAATTTTTCTGATTCTGCCCCTGTGAATTTCATGCACTTTAGTGCAAATTTTTGAGGTTCTAATGATTTATTTCTGATGTATATGTGTAATATAGGTTGTGTATAAGGTTTCATCAAAAAATTTCATGATTTGGTTGGCCAAATGATGTGTTTTTGGAACCGGCAAAAACTGGAAATTTCCCATAACTGCTCTGTCAGTGTTTTTGTTTTGGCTATAACTTTTTGCTCCAACGTCAAAATCGAGTGCCGTTTGCGAAAATGGAAACTAGACATTCCCAGCTTTCCAATGGTATAAAATTCATGTCCTAGTTCCACCTGAGTAGTCCATATCAAAAGTTTTAACATGACTGTCCTGTTTTGCGTCTACACTGGGAGCTCTGTTTTGAGCAGCGAAATGGTGCCCAAATATGAGTTAGCAGTGGACAGATTTTGGAAATGATTTTTTCTAAGAAATTGTAGCTTTATGAATCTAGTTTTCAATGCCACCAACACGCTCAATTCTGAGTTTAATTGAGTGATTTATGACCAGATTTTGAAACTGACTTTGTGGGAGAAAACCCTCATTTTGGACAGATTTGTAACCAATCTTGACTTGGGACTTGTTATTTGAAATTCTTGGTGTAATTACCTACCAAATGTATCTTGGATCCTTATTAGACCTGGTTATCATAAATGGAACATATTTTAGGCATTTTATTTGGCCAAAGGGTTGAGAAAAGAAAACTAGAGGTGCAAGGCAGCTTGCCTTGGAGATTTGGAAATTTTGATGGTTTTGTTAACCAACTTTCCGAATGAGTTTTCTTATGTTATTTGGTAGAGAAATAGCCCTTGTATGGTAGGATAATACTGCCAAATTTGGTGCCATTCTGAGTCTGTTTCGATGTTCAACAAACGTCCCAAAGTCAGCGATTTAGATCTAGAAAATTGGCCCAACGGTCTCATTTTTTAGTAACTTTGAGCTGCCATATCTTGGTGCTCAGAACTCCAATTCTTGTTCTGCTTGTTTTGTTTTAAACATTGATTGCAACTCTAATTGAGTTTCAAATCTGAGAAGCTAGTTCAAATACTATGAATTTTGCCGAATTTCCAAATTTGGCCAAAAACCAACCTTGAAACTGCCTTGATAGTGTAAAACAGTAATTTTAAGCCAAATTTTGAATGTCTTCCATTTGGAATCATGGAAAAGTGTATTCTAGAAACTTTTAGTACGTTGGAAGAAGTTTCCAATGGTGCCAAGTTTTCCAATTTTGGACTTGTAATGAGTGAGATACATTTTTCAAAGATCTTGTATCTAAGCTGGAATTTTTGAAACTTAAGGGAATGGAGTTTTTCGAATTCTCCCTTTCCCTTCAGTAACACTTGATCATTTTACACTTGAATTTAGAGATAAAAACCAGATTTCTCCTGTGCTTTAAAAACTCTACCTTTGAGCCTCGATTTACAAGTAAATAAGGCTCATTTTCATGAGAATTTTTTAGATTGTACAAGTGTGCAATCATTCATGATAATTGGGGGTTTATACATGATGTTCACTATTAATTGCTCAGACTCGCACGAGGACCTTCAAGAGGATCCCACGGTGAACGCCTGAATTTCGAGTAACATTCCTTCTTGTTTACTTGGCAAGTGTCAAGTGCATGATTACTTGAACTCCTGTGAACTTGATACATGCTTATGTGAGAACCCGTAAATTCCTCCTAATATTTTTCCTAAGGTTTTTCCCCTTAATGGCATGTTTTCTGCATTTTCTGGCTTAGGGAAAATTTTTTTGGTGAATTTTATGAGTAAATATAGTTTTTAGATGATTTTTCTAATATTGGATAGTTTTTGAGAAATTAAGGATATATATCGGACGTGGGACCCGCTAGTACGAAAAGTTCGGAAAAATTCGGCCAATTAGGTTAAGTTTCGGATACTGGGTGAAATTTATCGGGTGTTAAGAGATAAGTAGAGGTTGAGATGTGATTGATGTGAGAGGGAACAAAAGGATAGAGATGCTTTAAATGGAGTGACAAGTGTTACTTTGTGATTGGTTGCACTTGTTGGAACACTATTCACCTTTTGACCTTTTTACCATTTGGTTAAAATATCTCAAAAAATTACCAAAAATTCACTCTTTTCTTCTCCATCTTGGCCGGCCTTCTCTAGCAAAGAAGAAAGAAAACTCTTCAAAGTTTTGGCTTCCATCTAGCTCAAATCCTCCAAAACAATCACTTAAACTTGTTTCTACTCCATAAAACCTCTTCATTAGGTGTTAGTGAGTTGTTTGGTGAAGTGTTTGGGGAAGCTAAGGTGACAAGCAACTTTTCCTCTCTTGTTTTACTAGGTGAGTAGTGAATGAATCTTCTCCTTCACCTAATGAAGCTTAATTTGTGCTTAGTGGTAGTTAAAATGTTGAATTTTGTATTTTATTTCTTGATTTTGGATGAAGTGGTGAAGTTTTCCATTTATTGGTGATTTTTCTGTTTATATATGAATTTGATAGTGTGGCTTTGTATGATGATTAGCAATGGCCTAAAATGAGGCTAGTAGGTGTAAATGATTGTTAATTGCAAGCACTTTTTGGTTTGGAGGGAAATTTGGAAGACTAGGGTTTCATACCCTTCAATTCTGCCTGAATTTTTAGCTCCTAGTTAGAGGCTGAATTGACCTTGGCTTAAAACATGAAAGTTGTAGGGAATGATATTTTAGAGGTGCCTACAAAATTTCAGGTCAATCGGAGAAGTGTAGAGTGAGAAAAGTCGAAATTACTATTGCTGTTCTGGTTTTACCCGAATGTGAGAATTGCGCCTGTAATTGGTTGTTTTTGCTGGAATTGCTTCCGAATTGGTTGTTGAGACCTTCTGATGCAATTTAGCCCTATTTCTTAGCTTTCAGCTGGCTTTGGAATTTTTTGATTTGGACTTGTAGAGCCTGAGTTATGATGTTTCCGCTAGAATGCGTTTTGGTGAATCTGGTTTACATTTTTGATGTAGTATCTTGCATTTTTGACATGTTTGCACTTAAAACTGGGTTGAGTGACCTTCTGTGATATTGTAACCCTGTCTTTTAGCTTCGAAATAGTGGGTCTTGCACCCTCATCCGATAATCATAGTGAAATTGGTGCCATTACCGTAAAATGAGGACAAAAATTATTTTTTTTCAAGGCCAAATCTAGTTACATTTCCGAAATTTCTTGTTTCCTTTAATGTTTGTATATGCTTATGGAACCCTATTGGGGTCATGTTTGGCCTTGGTTTATGACTCGTTATCGAGTCTCATTGTATTTGTTTGCATGTTTTAGGACGTGACCGTGGTGCACAACATTCTTTTGACGGAAGTGCATGAAACCACATTTGCAAGCTTGGTGAGTGTACTACTCACTTGTGTGTTATTATATGGCTTTGATACTTGAACTTGAGGTGTTGAATGTTAATTGAGTGAAGTGAGAGTGTACTTTATCACTCTCACTTATTGTTTTGCATGTTATTGGAAAGTGATTGGAATGTTATATGAAATGTAATACATGATTTGGTGTCGTTTGGATGAGTCTCCAACGATGACAATTGTTATCTTTGAGCTCAACCCCATTGATAATTTATTGAATCGAGCCGGCGAGGGTTTGGTCGTGCCAATTAATGTGCCTTGGGGCAATGTTATATGGAATCTTGTAGTATGAGAGACTCTCGATTCTGGTTTACTCGAGCAATACCACAATGCAAGTGTTTGGATTTCGGACCCGGTTGGGGAATGTTTGGTGGAAGGAATGGAAGTAAAGTGGAGTCTACGGTTGGCTATTGTTGAACATTGACGGAGAGTCAATGACGTTCGATCAAGAAATGCAAACGAGGAAAAGGGCTCTTGAGAGCCATCTGTATCCTTTTATCACCATATTTGACGTGTGCCTTTGCTTATTTTACTATATTGAATGAAAGATTGATGCTTATATGCAATTGGTTGCGTAAGTGATAGTATCTCACTGGGCAATTAGCTCACACCGTTCCTTTGGTTTTCCTTACAGGAATATGACTCTTTTTGGAATGAATCTTGATAGATGGTTGCCGAATGAACTAGATGTATATTTTTTTTGTATGATATATGAAGTGAAACCCTAAATGTATCTTTAGGGCCGTTTTCACTTTCAATTTGGCAAACCGTGTATATATTCACTTTTGACAACTTTTGTATGTCACTTTGGATTGTAATTGCTAAAGTTCAAGATGTGAATGTTTGTTCGATATTTGGTTGCGTTCTGACGGGTCGGTTACTATTCATGACCGACTCCGAATTTCATTTTTTTTATTTTGGGTTATTTTGCCCTTTTGCCTTGTTTACGCGCGTTTATAAGTTCCGGAACGAAATAGATCGCTCTAAACTGCACCGTTAGTCCTGGCGAGAGTTGGGCAGGCAGTCCGCTAACCTCTTTGGTTCGCCTTAGGGGAAGGTGGGGCTGTCACAGGTGGTATCAGAGCCTAGGTTTGAATTGGTTTGGGTGTATTAGAATTGCTTGATTTCAGGGTTCTTTGTTACGGCCTTTAAACTTATTTATGCTTATTTACACTTTTGGTGTAGGATGGACGGATCTGGTGGACCGAGTGATGGCCCTGCAGGCGAGTGACCCCGTGTAGCGCTCCCAGTGATCCCGTACCAGATTCGGCCGAGAGGGGCCGTCTTACGTTGGAGTCCGGCGAGTCGCCTTCGTCGGTGTGAGTGTCACCACGCCTACGCCTACCCTAACACCTTAGTGTTGGTCGTGGCAAAGGTGCGGAAGGCGTTGGCGAAAGATAACGCTAGGCTTGAGACTGAGGTGAAGCAATTGAGGGCAGATAATGAGAAACAAGCGAAGCGAATCAAGGATTCAGAGTATGATGTGCTTGAGGTGGAGGATAAGGTGGATGACCTCTGCACCCAGCTTAGGGACACTCGTGAGCGTGAGATGAAGAGAGCCCGAAAGGTGAAGGTTCGAGCTGCCTCGATCCTGAACCTCTATACTGAAGTGGTCGAGGGCGTGAGCGACGAGGACTCTTGTGTGGGGCCCGAGGCTGGGGTTGGATCTACCCCGTCGGGTGGGTCTACTAGCTCGTCGTCGGACTAGGTTACGACTCCTAGGTTTTCTTTTGGGATAGTTTTGTTCTGTATATAGGGATAGGGAAAGAGCCTTAGCTAATCGTTTTGTACGTTGGATTAGCTACGTGTATATTTCTTTTGATGGGGCTTTTCCCTCGTGGATTGTCCATGTTTGTACTTGACTTGACTGGTTGTTTATATGTGTGTTGTTGTCTTGTTTGGAATGTATATATATGTTTTTAAAAGTTTTTGGGTTTTACTTACATGCATTGTCATTTTATTGTTCTAGTACGTTTGTCTAGATCAAATAGAACTTATGGAAGGCACACGTAGTGGACGGGGGCGTGGGCGCTGGAATAGGCAAGCTACGCCAGACCGGGGTGCTGGGGAAACCTCCTCTGGACCCAATCCTGAATCGAGAGTTGACCCCAATGTACAGATAGCTGCCGCTATGCAGCAAATGACCAACCTGCTGGCACAAGTGGTGCAACAACAAGGCCAGAATCCAAACCCTAATCCTGGAAACCCTGGCAATCATGTCGAGAGCGAAGACAGAGCTCTCGAACGATTTCAAAAGTTCGCTCCACCCAAGTTCATTGAGGGACCCGATCCGGATGTCGCCGAAAGGTGGTTCGAAAAGATGGTTGATATTTCCGCTACCCTGCACTACACCGATGAACGGCAGGTGACTTTTGCCGTTTTTCAGTTTAAAGGGGCGCCCGTTCCTGGTGGAACGTGATACGACAAAAATGGGAACGGGAACAAACGCCCAGGACTTGGGTGAATTTCATCAGAGAATTCAACACGAAATTTTTCCCTCCTCTAGTTCAGGAGAGGAAGGAAGATGAGTTTATTCGACTCCGGCAAGGGGCTCAATCGGTGGCGGAATACGAGAGTCAATTCACCCGCCTGTCCAAATTTGCGCCTGAGCTGATCATGACAGAGCAACGGCGAATCAGGCGTTTCATCCAGGGGTTGAACGTCGAAATTCAGAAGGACCTCGCAGTGGCTCAAATCAATGCTTTTAACGAGGTCGTAGAAAAGGCCCAAAGGGTAGAGAGTGCTCGATTGCAAATTCGGAACTTCCAGGCCAAGAAGCGAGGCTTCCCTGGAAGTAGCTCCGGACAAGGGGACAAAGGTACTCCCTCCAAGTTTGGACGTGAAGCTGGAGGTGGGCGACAGTCAGGTTCCGGCAGAGGGGCTCAGTCTAGGGGCGGCCCGACCGGGAGAGGCCAAGGTGAAAATTTCTAGAAAGGCTCAGGTTCGGCGTCTCATGGACCTTGCGGGTACTGCAGAAAGCCGAATCACTCGGAAGACAATTGCTGGAAGAAGGGAGGCAAATGTCTGCGTTGCGGAAGCGCAGACCACCAACTTGCTACCTGCCCATTTTTAACGCAAGAAGGAAGGGGAGCTCAACCCGCGTCAAAGACCAACACGGGACCGAATAAGGGGAATGAGGCGAAACCTAAGGTGCCAGCTCGAGTCTATTCCTTAGAACCTCGACAGGTCCCAGATTCCTCAGAGGTTGTAGAAGGTACGATCCCTATTTTCCACCATTTTGCCAAAGTTTTAATTGATCCTGGTGCCACCCATTCCTTTGTTAACCCTGATTTCATGTGTGGCATCGATATAAAATCTGCTAGTTTACCATACGACCTAGAAGTTAGTACACCTACGAGGAATCAACGCTTGGTTACTAGTATGGTTTATAGGGATTGTGAAGTGTGGGTAGGAGAGAAAAGATTGTTAGGGGACTTGATAAGTTTGGTTATTAAAGGGTATGATGTAATATTGGGTATGGACTGGTTAGCCAAGTATAATGCCCAACTGGACTGTAAAACAAAAGTGGTTGAATTTCGCATTCCTGGTGAGGCGACCTTAAGGTTGGATATAAGGGGTAGGTTAGCCTCATTTGCTTTAATTTCGGGCATTCGGGCTAGGAAATTGCTAAGTAGAGGGGCGCAAGGATTTTTGGCCTTTTTGATTAACACCCCTACGGATAAGTTGAAAGTGGAGGATGTGGCCATAGTGGAGGAATTTCCAGACGTGTTTCCTGATGAATTAGTAGCCTTACCTCCAGAAAGAGAAATTGAATTCAAAATAGACCTGCTACCAGGATCCGCACCCATCTCAAAAATACCCTACCGAATGGCCCCTGCAGAACTCAAGGAGCTAAAGTTGCAATTACAGGACCTTTTGGAGTGAGAATTCATTCAAGAAAGTGGGTCTCCTTGGGGAGCTCCTGTACTGTTTGTGAAGAAAAAAGATGGTGGTTTGAGGATGTATATTGATTATCGGGGTTTGAATAATATTACAATTAAAAATAAGTATCTACTGTCCCATATCGATGAGCTATTTGATCAGTTGCAAGGAGCGGTGATCTTCTCGAAACTGGACCTCCGCCAAGGGTATTACCAGTTACTAATCAGGAAGGAGGATATTCCGAAAACCGCCTTCAACTCGAGATATGGGCATTACGAGTTCGCAGTGATGCCCTTTGGATTAACCAATGCTCCTGCCGCCTTCATGGACCTAATGCATAGGATTTTTAAGCCCTACCTGGATCGATTTGTAGTAGTCTTCATCGATGACATCCTGGTCTATTCCAAGACCCGTGAAGAGCATGAGCAACACTTGAAGACTGTCTTGCAAACCCTGAGAGACCATGAACTGTATGCCAAGTTCAGCAAGTGTGAATTTTGGCTGGAGAAAATTGCTTTTCTTGGGCATGTAATTTCTCAAGAGGGTATTTCAGTCGACCCGGCGAAAGTAGAAACTGTGACTAATTGGAAGAGGCCAGAAACTCCCACAGAGGTCCGCAGCTTTCTAGGACTGGCTGGATATTACCGGCGTTTTATCAAGGACTTCTCCAAACTAGCCGGTCCTTTAACTGATTTGACGAAGAAACATGGTCGGTTCTTATGGAACGCCCGAAGTGAGACAAGTTTTCAAGAATTAAAGAAAAGATTGACCATGACTCCAGTTCTAGTCTTACCAAACGGGGTGGACGGATATGCTGTGTACACTGATGCATCCTGAGAAGGCCTGGGTTGTGTATTAATGCAAAACCGAAATGTGATCTCTTTTGCCTCGAGGAAGTTAAAACCCCACGAGCAAAATTACCCGACCCACCATCTGGAGCTAGCTGCAGTTGTTTTTGCTCTGAAGAAGTGGAGGCACTACTTATATGGAGTAACTTTCGAAGTTTACTCCAATCATAAAAGCCTGAGATATCTTTTCTCACAGAAGGAATTAAACATGAGGCAGCGACGGTGGATGGAATTTCTAGAGGATTACGACTGTACCATCAACTACCATCCGGGAAAAGCAAACGTGGTGGCCGATGCCCTAAGTCACAAAGCTCAGGTTGCAAGTCTAATGATCAAAGAATGGGAATTGTTAGACTCCGTGTGTGAATGGAAACCTTGCCCTGGGAGCCATAAGGTGATTTTTGGCAATATTAAAGTGACTTCCACTCTCTTGGAGAGAATTAAAGAAACTCAAAAGGAGGATCGGATGGTACGAAAGTGGGGAGAGAAAGTGGAAAAAGGGGAAACCACTGATTTCAATTTTGGTCCTGAGGGTATTTTAAAATACCGAAACCAAATAGTGGTGCCGAAGGATAAATCGTTGAAAATGGAGATTCTAGAGGAAACCCATCGATCCAAATATACAATCCATCCGGGTAGTAGTAAGATGTATCAAGACCTGAAAGGAAACTATTAGTGGGACAATATGAAGAAGGAAATCGCGTTGTACGTGCAAAAATGTCTCGTTTGCCAACAAGTGAAAGCAGAGCATCAAAAACCATCGGGTTTGTTACAACCTCTTGAGATACCTGAATGGAAGTGGAAAAACATCACCATAGACTTCGTTTCGGGTTTACCACGAACGCAAAGAGGGCACGATGCCGTTTGGGTGATCGTCGATCGATTAACCAAATCGGCCCATTTCTTGCCGGTGAACATGAAGTATTCCATGGACAAGTTGGCCCAACTGTACATGGACGAGATTGTAAGGCTACACGGCGTTCCTGTGAGCATTGTCTCCGATCGAGATCCACGGTTCGTATCTCGATTTTGGCAGAAGTTTCAAGAAATCCTGGGGACTAAACTCAATTTGAGCACGACCTATCACCCTCAGACAGATGGACAATCGGAGTGAACGATTCAAACTCTCGAGGACATGCTACGAACTTGCATTTTAGATTTTGGAGGCAACTGGGGTCAACACATGACCTTAGTAGAGTTTGCGTACAACAACAACTTCCATTCGTCGATTCAAATGGCTCCTATACGGACGAAAATGCCGGTCGCCGATTTACTGGAACGAAGTTGGCGAAAAAAAGACACTAGACCCGGCAACTATTCCATGGATGGAAGAGGTTCGAGAGAAGGTCAAGTTGATACGGCAACGACTCCAAACAGCTCAAAGCCGACAAAAGAGCTACGCGGATAATCGAAGAAAAGACTTGGAGTTCGAAATTGGAGACAACGTATTCCTCAAGATCACACCCTTACGAAGTGTCACAGCAGGCAAAGGAAAGAAGCTCCAACCGCGGTACGTCGGACCCTACAAGATCCTCCAGAGGGTAGGAGCGGTCACGTATCGATTAGAGCTGCCGTCCAGTCTCTCTCGAATTCACGACGTATTCCACGTCTCGATGCTAAAAAAGTATTATCCCGACCCATCCCATATCTTACAATCGGAGGAGATCGAAGTATACGAATCGCTTGCTTACGAAGAAAAATCTGTCCAAGTGCTTGACCGGAAAGTCAAAGAGCTCCGAAACAAGCAGATTCCGTTAGTGAAGGTACTATGGAGAAACCATGGGATAGAGGAAGCTACCTGGGAAGTGGAAGAAGAAATGCGAAAGAAATACCCAAACCTTTTTGGGAGTTAAGGTGAGAAATTTCGAGAGCGAAATTCTTTTAAGGGGGAGAGAGTGTGAGAACCCGTAAATTCCTCCTAATATTTTTCCTAGGGTTTTTCCCCTTAATGGCATGTTTTCTGCATTTTCTAGCTTAG